GGGGAGCCGTCAGGCTGAAGAAGGAGGCCTACAGGGCGTGGCTGGTCTGTGGGTCTCCGGAGGCAGCAGACAGGTACCGGATAGCCAAGCGGGGTGCAGCAGTGGCAGTTGCCGAGGCAAAATCTCGGGCGTGGGAGGAGTTTGGTGAGGCCATGGAGAAAGACTATCGATCGGCTCCAAAGAGGTTCTGGCAAACTGTCCGGCGCCTCAGGAGAGGAAGGCAGCAACTCGCTCACACTGTTTACAGTGGGGATGGGGAGCTGCTGACGTCAACTGAGGCTATAGTCGGACGGTGGAAGGAATACTTTGAGGAGCTCCTCAATCCCACCAATGCGCATTCCGAGGAGGAACCAGAGCTGGGAGGCCTGGGGATGGACTGTCCGATCTCGGGGGCAGAAGTTGCTGAGGTAGTCAAACAACTACACAGCGGCGGAGCCCCGGGGGCGGATGAGGCTCGTCCTGGGTATCTCAAGGCTATGGATGTTGTAGGGCTTTCATGGTTGACACGTCTCTACAACATTGCGTGGTCATCGGGGGCAGTTCCTAGGGAGTGGCAGACCGGGGTGGTGGTCCCCATCTTTAAGAAGGGTGACCTGAGGGTGTGTTCCAACTATAGGGGGATCACACTCCTCAGCCTCCCTGGAAAGGTCTACTCCAAGGTACTGGAGAGGAGGGTCCGATCGATAGTTGAATCTCAGATAGAGGAGGAGCAATGTGGTTTTCGTCCTGGCCGTGGAACTGTGGACCAGCTCTATACCCTTGCAAGGGTGATGGAGGGGGCATGGGAGTTTGCCCAACCAATCCACATGTGCTTTGTGGATTTGGAGAAGGCTTATGACCGTGTCCCCAGGGGCACCCTGTGGGGGACGCTCCAGGAGTATGGGGTGGGTGGCTTTCTGTTAAGGGCCATTCAGTCCCTTTACCAGAGGAGCGTGAGTTTGGTCCGCATAGCCGGTAGTAAGTCGGACCTGTTCCCAGTGAGGGTTGGACTCCGCCAGGGCTGCCCTTTGTCACCGGTTCTGTTCATCACTTTTATGGACAGAATTTCTAGACGCAGCCGTGGTGTGGAGTGTGTCGAGTTTGGTGGCAGGAGAATCTCGTCTCTGCTTTTTGCGGATGATGTGGTCCTCCTAGCTTCATCCAGCTCTGACCTTCAGCTCTTGCTGGGTAGGTTCGCGGCCGAATGTGAAGCGGCTGGGATGAGGATCAGCACCTCCAAATCTGAGACCATGGTTCTCGACCGGAAAAGGGTGGCTTGCCACCTCCGGGTCGGGGGAGAGGTCCTACCTCAAGTGGAGGAGTTTAAGTATCTCGGGGTCTTGTTCACGAGTGAGGGTAGGAGGGATCGGGAGATCGACAGGCGGATTGGTTCGGCGTCTGCAGTGATGCGGACGCTGAGCCGATCTGTCGTGGGGAAGAGGGAGCTGAGCCAGAAAGCCAGGCTCTCGATTTACCGGTCGATCTACGTCCCAATCCTCACCTATGGTCATGAGCTTTGGGTAATGACCGAAAGAACGAGATCGCGGATACAAGCGGCCGAAATGAGTTTCCTCCGTAGGGTGGCCGGGCTCAGCCTTAGAGATAGGGTGAGGAGCTCGGACATTCGGGAGGGACTCGGAGTAGAACCGCTGCTCCTCCGGATCGAAAGGAGCCAGTTGAGGTGGTTTGGGCATCTGGTCAGGATGCCTCCTGGACGCCTCCCCGGGGAGGTGTTTCGGGCATGTCCTGCCGGCAGAAGGCCCCCGGGTCGACCCAGGACACGTTGGAGAGGTTACATCTCCAATCTGGTCCGGGAACGCCTTGGGGTCCTGCCGGAGGAGCTGGTGGACAAGGCCGGGGAGAGGACGGCCTGGAGCTCCCTAGTTGGGATGCTGCCCCCGCGACCCGGACCCGGATAAGCGGAGGAAGACGAGAGACGACGAGACGAGAGATGGTGTCAGGTTTCCTGCTCTTTGACCTGGGAGGTTACCTGGCTTACAGGAAAATTAACGAGCTGTCGAAGAATATTGGCTCTTTCCTGGAGCTCTGGGATGGATTACACCTCATTGTGAATGCACAGACTCATATAATTGTCGAGATGAGTCGTAAGCTTGGAACTTTGGCTGCGATTCATGCTTTGGCACAAAAGATGGATGCGATCAAGGAGCGAGTGGACGAATAAGCACGGATTGGGATAGTTTAACTTACGCCATTATTGAATTTTGAGAGGTTAAGGACCAATGGAACTTTGAGACAGAGAAGAAATTATGTCTGTCTGGCCCCAAAACAATTTCTTATCTGAATCTGGTGCCTCAAGGGCACCAGATTCAGATAAGAAATTGCCCCAGGAACAAGGAACAAGCAGTCTTCAGTTCCTGCTTGTTCCTGGGGCATTTTCCCTTCAGTTTTATCTTCAGCAAGTGAAATGCATGCTCAATCGGATTCAGGTCAGGTGATTGACTTGGCCATTGTAAAACAGTCCACTTGTTTCCCTTCAAAAACTCTTTGGTTGCTTTTGCAGTATGCTTTGGGTCATTGTCCATCTGCACTGTGAAGCGCCGTCCAATGAGTTCTGAGGCATTTGGCTGAATATGAGCAGATAATATTGCCCGAAACACTTCAGAATTCATCGTGCTGCTTTTGTCAGCAGTCACATCATCAATAAATACAAGAGAACCAGTTCCACTGGCAGCCATGCATGCCCACACCATGACACTTCCAGCACCATGCTTCACTGATGAGGTGGTGTGCTTAGGATCATGAGCAGTTCCTTTCCATCTCCATACTCTTCTTCCCATCACTCTGGTACAAGTTGATCTTGGTCTCATCTGTCCATAGGATGTTGTTCCAGAACTGTGAAGGCTTCTTTAGATGTTGTTTGGCAAACTCTACTCTGGCCTTCCTGTTTTTGGGGCTCACCAATGGTTTACATCTTGTGGTGAACCCTCTGTATTCACACTGGTGGAGTCTTCTCTTGATTGTTGACTTTGACACAGATACATCTACCTCCTGGAGAGTGTTCTTGATCTGGCCAACTGTTGTGAAGGGTGTTTTCTTCACCAGGGAAAGGATTCTTCGGTCATCCACCAGTTGTTTTCCATGGTCTTCTGGGTCTTTTGGTGTTGCTGAGCTCACCGGTGCGTTCCTTCTTTATGAGAATGTTCCAAACTGTTGTTTTGGCCACGCCTACTGTTTTTGCTGTCTCTCTGATAGGTTTCTTTTGTTTTTTCAGCCTAATGATGGCTTGCTTCACTGATAGTGACAGCTCTTTGGATCTCATCTTGTCAGTTGACAGCAACAGATTCCAAATGCAAATAGCACACTTGAAATGAACTCTGGACCTTTTATCTGCTCATTGTAATTGGGATAATGAGGGAATAACACACACCTGGCCATGGAACAGCTGAGAAGCCAATTGTCCCATTACATTTAGTCCCTTAACAAGTGTGAGGCACATATGCATACTGTTGTAATTCCTACGCCGTTCACCTGATTTGGATGTAAATACCCTCAAATAAAAGCTGACAGTCTGCAGTTAAAGCACATCTTGTTCGTTTCATTTGATATCCATTGTGGTGGTGTATAGAGCCAAAAATGTTAGCATTGAGTCGATGTCCCAATATTTATGGACCTGACTGTATGTCTGATCTCAGAATTGTGTGTACTGAAACTCCAATTTCCCTCTGGGATTAATAAAGTATATTTGAATTGAATTGAATTGAATTGAATATGGCTGCGCAGTGGAGCAGTGGTTAGAGCTGTTGCCTTGCAGCACGAAGGTCCTGGGTTCGCTTCCCAGCCTGGGATTTTTCTGCATGGAGTTTGCAAGTTCTCCCTGTGCATGTGTGGGTTCTCTCCAGGTACTCCGGCTTCCTCCCACAGTCCAAAAACATGACTGTTAGGTTGATTGGTCTGTCTAAATTGCCCTTAGGTGTGAGTGTGTGTGTGCACAATTGTTTGTCCTGTGTGTCTCTGTGTTGCCCTGCGATGGACTGGCTCTCTGTCCAGGGTGTACCCTGCCTAATTGCCCGTTGACTGCTGGAGATAGGCACCGGCCCCCCCCCGCGACCCTACGTGTACCAAGCGGGTTCAGAAGATGGATGGCTGAATTGAATATGAACGCAAAGGGCACCGAATTCAGAGAATCACCCAATTATACAATATTTGGCAAAAGGGAAACGGAGCTTGTGGAGAGCATTTTCTCGAGACTACAGCTGTGAAAGCAGGAAGCAGATTGACAGTAAGCAGACCACATTAGTAAAAATAAGAACCCTCCTCTGCCAGTGCAGATCTCTGTAGGTGTGTGTAGGCGTTGATGCCAGTGAATGAGAGAATAAGGCTTGTCATTGGTAATTAGTGTCTATGCTCAGTGATTTCTAAGGGAGCAACTAATGTTTTCATCAGCCAGCAAGAAATTTGATTGGGTGATTTTTTTTTCTTTATCTTTGTCAATTCCAAATAAATTTTAGGAGAGGCACTCTAATATGCAGCCAGGGTTCGTATTTTAAATAAACAGAGTATAAACTCAAATAAGAAACAACGTGAGATGTAGTTTATGCCTTGTGTCTGTAAACTCATCCGATTCTAATGGAGAAACTTTTTCAAGTTTAAACTAGATTTGACTCAAAAACAAAACTGTAAAGGCATCTAGAAAATCCCTTTTGTGGTGAATTAAACGGCCGTCTCCTGTTTGCTTTAGACAAAGTTGTCTTTGCTAAAATCTGTTTTTATACACATTTCTGATCTTATTTACAAAGCTACAAATCATTCACAATTAAACTGAATTAAATCATTATCTAAACTGTATTAGCTGCTAATATAAAGTTTAAGTCCCACTAGTCACCACACGCTGGTGAAGTTCATCTCGGCATTTGACCCATCCCCTTGGGGGGCGGTAAGCTGCAGCTGCGGCTGCGCTCGGGAACCATTTGTTATGTTATGAACCCCAAACATAAAAATTAGAGCAGATTACCTGACTGAAGCTGAATTATGAATTAGAATGAAAGTGACAAGCTACTTACGGAAACTGTCAAACATCAGTCTGGTGTGGATGTTCTCGTAATGCTGGTCGAGTCTGAGGTCGTCTGTGTGTTCTGATGCAGGATGACGGATCACGTGTGCAAGAGCTCTGAAAGGATGAAATGCAGACTCAAGAGAAAAGGTCTTTACTGGTTAATGGTTGAACGATCAAATCTAAAATAAAAAGTCCATAGAGATGCTTTAAATACCCTATCAAAAGTCTACATAATCTGTATGATATATAAGCTGTTAGGAAACACACAGATTTTTTTTACATAATGCATTTAAATCACATCCATCTTTATTTGAGCCTGCCCCTCGCAAGTTTCTCATTTCAGGTGACATTTAAGTTGAGTAAGATTTCAAACATTTGAGCGTGACCATGTTATTATTTTCTGATCATAGTCATTAGGTCTGGTTGAGACTGTCAAAGCTGCCTACCTTACTGGCTCTAAACTGATCTGAAAGCCTCCAGCTGTGCTGAAGTGAAAAAGAAGCCATTGAAGAGGAACAACAGTGGCGATATTGGCAGTCGTCCCCCTTTATTATTATTATTATTATTATTATTATTATTATTACAACTCCTCCTCACCTTTTGTTTTATTAATTACAGCTGAGCATAAAAGTAGTACTGCAGGTGGACCAAGGTTTACCATCAGAGCAACACGTGACTTTTATGTTTCTACACAGGGTTTAGCTCATGCTTTTGAAAACGTGACCTCATACAGACAAGAGTCACTCTGTCGAAGTTGTAATCAAACCGTTTACGGATGTAAAGTGATAAATCGTAACCTAATCCGACAACAACCCAGGTGTTTGTTCTCTGAATAAAGCTTTGTGAATATCGTCATGTGACCCACTTCAGTCTTCACATCTCCTCAAACATCCTCAGATCTCGATAAGATGCCTGGCTGCTGTTTATACACACAGCCCACATGTTATACTATTTATCCTGCGTGTCTCCCCTAAAGGAGAAAACAGTAAAAAGCCTCTAAATGTGTCTACTATGTTACAGAGACACAGTTTGGAAATACGTGTTCATTTATTTCAATTTAGTGTCAACCAATCCCTTCAACTTCAGAGCCTAATTAAATTAATCAATCAACCCAACTGGCCAACTTTTAAATGATCCAAGCTTCAAAATGTGTCTGTTTTCATCTCAGTGTTTTCCAAAGTAAAAGCAATTTGGAATAGATACCAGCATTTGTGCAGACAGGTGATTGTTATTCAGATGTATTTCCACATTTGGAAACCATCTTTGTCCAAATGAATGTTTGTGTGATTGTGATGATTAAACCAGTGGCCTCTAGCCTTGTTATCACACCTCACGTGCAGGTCAGGTTGATTTAAATCCATTTTTAACATTGTTCTACATCGTTTGTGATATTTTGGGGCATGAAAAATTACATTTGAACCTTATTTTTTGTACTTTCTAAGAGTTTCCTCAAATATGTATTTGATAAACAAATAAATTATAAGGTTTGTTTAAAATGCCACTCCACAGTGTGTGTCTGGAGGGACCCATGTGCTGCCTTATATCAAAGCATACCATCATCACCCAAAGCCTGTGGCTGTCGGGTGACCATCACTATGTGTTGGTGAAGTTTTCACTCATGTATTCAGGATAAAAAGACACCGAATCATCATCTGAATATCAGGCGCAGGCTTTACCTGGACATGTTGTCTCTGTTGGGCCGGTGCGTCTTTTCCAAGCCAAGCTTGGTGAAAATCCCAATCAGGGCCATGATGGCAACGACCCCGCAAATGACGTAGACTATCAGGTTGGTTTTATCCTTGGCTGACTCTGACGTCACGTCTACTTTAGGTGGAGGCCTGCCGGTCATCATCCACGGGGGGGTGTCGTAGTTCTTACAGGTGGTCTGGTCCAGTCTGGAGCTCTTGTACTCGCAGCAGAACCTGAAGCCACAGGTGCCGCAGCAGTACAGATAGCTGCCTGTCCTGCACACGAACGGCGGGTCCCACTGGCCCATCACGTCGTAGTAGCCACTGCACTTGTCCTCCGTGTGGGGGTTCTCCGTGGCCGCGCTCTCCCCGTCCACAGACTCGTTAAACCCGGTTACTATGATGAAGTCATCCGCGCTCTGATCCAGCTCGCCCTCCGCGTCACAAACCAGAACTTTTACCAGAAAGTAACCGAGCAGCAGCTCCGTGCCCCGCATGGTTGCTCACTCCCTGACTTCTAATGCCGAGGAGTCCTGCGTAAACAGGCTGGTGCCAACCTCCATGCGTAAAACCACCGCACTTCCTCTCCCTTTGAATACAAGAACAAATGCCGTTGTTGCTGCAGCTGAAACCCCCCACAGGGCAGCTTACAAGGTTAAAGCATCTCTAAAGAGCTGCCTCTGGGTGAGCTGGAGGGAATCAAACACCTCTGAGGCACATGGAGCGCGTCTGGAGAGAGAGAGACGGAAGGAAGGTGAGAAAGACAAAGCAGGAGACCCTCTTATTTAGATCTGGGGAGAGAGGAGCAGCGTCAGTAGGAGAGAGGGAGAGCTGTGCGCAACAGCTCTAATTACAACCTCTTACAGCCCATTATTACTGAGCTGTGTGGCAAAAACCGACTGCAACGATGCCAACCAACTCCTAAAAGCAGTAAAACACTAGAAACATGAATAAAGCTCAGCTTTAGGTTAAATGATCATTTATTTGTTTGAGGCTCCAACGTTATTAAAAATGTAATTAAATCAGACATGAAAAGGACATTTCAATAGATTTTAGTGTCATTTTACAAACCTGTTTCAAGAAAAAATCTTTCACTTTTAGCATCACAATTTTTCACAATCATGCCCTCCACTCATTTTTGCACATTTCAAAACCTCAGACACGTTCAGAGGATTTAAATGGGATTTTTTTCTACCAAATGCACACCTCACACACACCTGAAACTAAGTTATCTAGATCTGAATCATTATGAACGTCTGACATCTTCAGTGTTTGTCGGTTCAGCTCAGCTCAGCTCAGTTTGTTTAAATAGCCAAATCAGACAAGTCGTCTCAAGGCACTTCCCAAAGTTAACGTTCCAGTTCAGTAAATTAAACCAGTCAGTAAAAAGTTTCCCATAACCCAGATAACTGCATTGCTCCAGCTGTTAATGACTAATCATTCTCAAAGAGAAACACGTGAAAAACTTTGACAGGAACAGATCTGCTTAAAAATACTTTGCAATTTATTTTTAGAAGAACCTTTTTATCTAAAATTGTAACTAAACACAGAAGCTTTATTTGTGAAGTCTCCCTCTTTCATCTTGGTCTGGAATCATCAGTGATAAAAGCACTTTTATTTTATTTTGCTGTCAGGAGGTTTCCTTTCTTTATTTTGCATTTCTTGTCTTTGTACATCTTACCTATACATAGTTTTCACACTTTCCTTGTCCTAAAATTAATCAGATTGCATTAAGATCAGATACATTAGGCGTGTTTTCAGAGTTTTTTTAACTATTACTCTGGCATAACTATTCTTATTAATGTCTATGCTGAATGACACAGACAGAGAGGAAACAGTTTCCCTTCAGCTGCATGATCAGAATAATAAAAAAGGTTAATCAGCCACAGTGATTTTACTCATTAACTATGCTTCAATTCTCAAAATTAAAAATCTTAATTGTTTTTATTTATGTCTTGATTAAGAATGTCAGTAAATAATGAATCAAAGCTGATTGTGTCTCTGTTTTTTTTTTTTTTTTGCATATGATGTCATACAATTTTCATGCATGCAAATCTACAAACTCCACTTTCAATTTGATCATGTTATTAAAGTGAAATTATACATAAAAAATGACTTTGGTTGTAAATTAATAGAATATATGAGTTTATTTCTAACTCTGAGTGAATTACTCCTGCAGGACTGCTCAGCAGTCATCAAACATATGTGTGGCATCGGATGACACTTTCAGGTAAATCTCTGCCAAAAAGTTACTCACTAGAAGCCATTTGGAGGGTGGGAGCAGGTGGGCAGATGGAGGGGTTGTATTTCTCCTCAGACAGGGATGGGGTTTAATCAAGCCTTCACACAGCAGGAAGTTGACTATAATTTTGTTTTGTTGCAAGTGAGTAATGCAGCTGACGCACGCACCATCTCAGGGCTGCTACAAGGAGGCTTTGCTAAAGCGAAAGTACACGCATTTTCTTTGCACAATATGTGAATTCTGAATTGTTTAATGTCACACGTAAGAAAACGATCCATGCAACAATGAGCATTTCTGTGAAATGCATTACTACTATTATAGGGTTTCCTCTGGACTAACTAAGGGCCAGGCAGGCGACACACAGCAGCAAGCTTTATTCAGGGTGACAAAATCAGAAGCTGGAACTAATTTTAGGTTTCAGTCTGATCATTCCATCTGTCCTGCGCAACATACACTTTGAAAATAGTGAAAATTTGAATAGTTCTTCTTATTAATGTGATCCTTGAGTCACAGCCAGGTTTCTGATGGACAGAGTGAATTATAATGATTATTGATGAAATATGATACTGATGAGTCTAATTTAGATGTCTGTCTATCAGCTAACACACAGAGTTTGTAGTTCTGTCGAGGCAGTCGTCTGATTTTAGGAGGGTTTATTTTTAATCTTAAAGGTGACCACAGAGCATGTTGGACACAAGACGGTTTGGAGAAGACAGACATTTTAAAATGCATGTCTGTGTAATCACTTTCATATCTCACTGTGTGGTCTTTGGTTGTTTTAGCCGGACACTTGTCTAGACTTCAGTCCATGATTATTTCTTCTAGCAAAAGCTTTTAGACATTCACTGAACTTAGAAGTTTAGAGCTGGAACAGTCTATCAAAGAAACTGGTTCCAGTACAAATGTTAAGTCCCACCCTCCTCTATTTAAATTAATGGGACATTTGCATAGTTCTGCTGCAGGAACTTATTTGAAGCTTTTAAATGACAACGATTGACTGCAGGTGACCCTGAAACCTTCAACGTGCAGACTCTGGTTCCAAAAAGACAACATGGCTGCACCATCGGGCTGCACCTGTAAAAGCCATCTGGCATCACTTCTGATCCAACAAACAGAAGACCTATCTATGATTTCCATAAGTGAAGGCGTCCAGTGAGGAGAAAAATGTCTTTAAGTATAAATGTTCTTTAACAACATCTTTATGCTTGTTCAACTTTGATGTAATTAAAAACAAGAGACAGTTTTTAAATCTAAACCTGCAATAGAAAATTATTTTACTTAAAGCTAATTACTATAGTTACAGTTATATGGAAGCCCATTCCCACCACTCAGATAACAAAATATTATCTCATTATTATGAATTAGTATCTTTTTTAGTTTAGTTTATTTCAAACAAAGAAAACATACATAATTTTTTTTAAAAATACCACAAACAGAAAAAATACATATCATCATCCCTTCTTCTCTGTTTGAAAAGGAGTAGGCTGAAGTGGAAACTTGTATGTCCCTACCCCTTTATACAAGTAATTTTTACTTGTTTACTAAATCTAACACAAAACCTACATTAAAACAAACAAAATGGTACAAGTCACACAAAAAAAATATTATGAGATAGCTACCTCATAATAATGAGACACTATCTCGTAATTATGAGATAGTATCTCATTATTATGGCATAGCTATCTCATAATAATGAGATAGTATCTCATGACTTCGTATCTCATTATTTTGACTCAGTATCTTATAATTATGAGATATTATCTCATAATTATGAGATACTATCTCATAATTATGAGATAGTATCTCAATATTTTGACTTAGTATGTTATAATTATGAGATTGTATCTCATTAAAAAGATAGCTAAGTCATAATAATGAGATAGTATCTCATTATTATGACTTAGCTATCTCATAATTATGAGATTCTATCTCATGACTTAGTATATCATTATTTTGACTAAGTATCTCATAATTATGATATAGTATCTCATTATTTTGACTAAGTATCTCATAATTATGAGATTCTATCTCATGACTTAGTATCTCATTATTTTGACTAAGTATCTCATAATTATGATATAGTATCTTATAATTAGGAGATAGTATCTCCTAATTATGAGATAGTATCTCATTATTTTGACTAAGTATCTCATAATTATGAGATTCTATCTCATGACTTAGTATCTCATTATTTTGACTCAGTATCTCATAATTATGATATAGTATCTTATAATTAGGAGATAGTATCTCCTAATTATGAGATAGTATCTCATTATTTTGACTCAGTATCTTATAATTATGAGATAGTACCTCATTATTTTGACTCAGTATCTTATAATTATGAGATAGTACCTCATTATTTTGACTCAGTATCTTATAATTATGAGATAGTACCTCATTATTTTGACTCAGTATCTTATAATTATGAGATAGTACCTCATTATTTTGACTCAGTATCTTATAATTATGAGATAGTACCTCATTATTTTGACTCAGTATCTTATAATTATGAGATAGTACCTCATTATAATGAGATAGCTAAGTCATAATTATACAATGAGATACTATCTCGGGGCTGCGCACAGGTGTAGTGGTTAGAGCTGTTGCCTTGCAGCAAGGAGGTCCTGGGTTCGCTTCCCAGCCTGGGATTTTTCTGCATGGTGTTTGCATGTTCTCCCTGTGCATGCGTGGGTTCTCTCCGGGTACTCCGGCTTCCTCCCACAGTCCAAAAACATGACTGTTAGATTGATTGGTCTGTCTAAATTATCCTTAGGTGTGTGTGTGTGTGTGTGTGTGTGTGTGTGTGTGTGTGTGTGTGTGTGTGTGTGTCTGCATGATTGTTTGTCCTGTGTGTCTCTGTGTTGCCCTGCAATGGACTGGCTCTCTGTCCAGGGTGTACCCTGCCTGATTGCCCGTTGACCGCTGGAGATAGGCACCGGTCCCCCGCAATCCTACGTGGACAAAGCGGGTTCAGACAATGGATGGAGGGATGGATGGAGATACTAGAGCAAAATTATGAGATAGCTAAGTCATAATTATGAGATAGTAATCTCATTATTATGACTTAGCTATCTCATAATAATGAGATAGTATCTCATGACTTAGTATGTCATTATTTTGACTCAGAATCTTATTATTATGAGATAAAATAATAATAATAATAATAATACTATCTCATGTGAGATAGTGTCTCTAAGTAACAATTATGAGATAATTTTTTTTATCTGAGTGGTGGGAATGGGCTTCCATACAGTTACTATATTACTACCTAAATCTTGAATTTTCTTTTTTCTAACTGAAATTTGTAATCTTTCATCTGTTTATGAAATTTTATAATTTTATGACATTATTTTTTCTGATGTTAATCTAATTCTGTTTTGAGATCGTTACGGTTTTATGACTTTGTTTTTTGTTTTGATCAATGTGAAGAGCTTTGTGATTCTACGTCTGTGATAAGTCTCATATAAATAAAATGTACTTACTTACTTATAGTGAGAGTTACAATTCACTAAAGTTGAACAAAGATCCACATTGCAAAAATGTAATAGAT